AGAAATAGAGGAGATCCTAGCCGACAGGGTTAGGAAGATAGGAAGACCTGTACGGATGATTCATGAATTCCTTGTCAAATGGAAGAATCTCCCTACGGAGGAAACCAGCTGGGAACGCGCCGAAGATCTGAACTTCGCCACCACCCACATCGCCAGGTTTTAAAGTAGTCGGTTGACAGGGACGTCAACCAATTAGGTGGGGGAGGATGTCACGGTCATGCTCGTCCAAGACGTGTTGCCCATGGTCGCATGCCCATGACAAGCCCAACTCTTTATGTATTTTCATATTCTAGTATTTTATTTTTGTATTTCTAGGAAGTATGACGTTTCAGAAATATCATGTTTAGATTTGTCAGACATGAAATGCCTCAGAATGTACTATATGGGGATACGACTAGTTGTCAACCCCTACTCAAGGTTATATACTGAGCCGTTGTTATTTCTCTCTTGCTTGCTTATATAATGTCTCTTTCAAAAATCTCTCTTTCGAAAATCTCTCTCTGCCCTCGTTTTCTAAAACCTTCTCTTAAAACTGAGGCTAGAGGCTCGAGCATACGTCGCTTGGCCGTAGGCGACGCAAGAACGAATTGACTTAGCTCACTTGTCATTGGAAAGTGAGTGTCACACGATCGCAAGTCCGGTACCATCAAAAGTGTGATTGTGACACCAATGAGGACACTGGCCCCTAGGAAGTAGATTATGAGATCCTACAACAGTCAGAGAGGAGGACACATTCCTCTTAAGAGTGTGGAAATCTCTCCCTACTAGACGTGTTTTAAAAATGTGAGGCTGATTGCGATATGTAACATGTCAAAGCGGACAATATCTGTTAGTAGTGAGCTTGGGCGATTACAAATGATATCAGAGCTAGACACTGAGCAATGTGTCAGTGAGGATGTCAGCCCTTAAGGAGGGGTAAATTTTGAAATCTCACATCAGTTAGAGAAGAGAACGAAACATTTCTTATAAGAGTGTGAAAACCTCTCCCTAACATATGCCTTGTAAATATGTGAGACTAACGGTGATATATAAGGGACCAAAATGGATAATATATGTTAGTGGTAGATTTTAAGGGTTTTAATAAATATTTATATTTATGGCATGAAAAATTGGTAAATTCTGATTTTTTTTTTCCTCTAAAACTTTAAATTATAGAAGTAAAAGTAATATATTAAAGATACAAAAAATCTATTAATTTAAATATATGGAAGGTTATAATGATTTAATTGTAATTAGTTTGGGCTTTGAACGCTTCCATTGGAATAGAGAAGCTGCCTTAGTGGGCCTTCTTATTGGGCCTTCTTATTGGGCTTCAAATCTCCAACAGGCCCATGCATACATAGATTACATTATGGGGCCTGTTCGTTATCATAGGTCGTAATAAGAATACAATAAAATTAGAATACAATAATCATAAATAGGGAAAATATGAAATTTTACAACATTCATTTCAATTTTCATGTAAACTTTTTTATTTTTATTTTTTATAATTATATCTTATAAATACTAGACTTTAATAAATATTGAAAACTTTATCTGTAATGAGGTTTAATTTTAAAAAATGATATTTAATAAATGTAATTTCCGGGCGTTAGTTACCAAAATTATAATAGGAGAACGACTCACATAACCTTCCTAAAAATATAATTTACGTGTCTTTTATGAATTAGGTTAAAAAAGAATTAAGCTGGACCAAACGAAAATACCACGAGCCAAGTTTCATTCATGACTCTAAAAAATAGACTAACCTCCACCTCGGCCCTAGCCGAGGGCTATTTTTTATTTTATACATTTATTTAGTTGTTAATCTTATACATTAATTAAATTTAATTTTTATAAAGATTTGAAATATATGGGTATTTTTTGTTAAAATTAATAGGTAAATTTAGCAAAATGTTTAAATTTAGAGTTCAAATAAATTAAATAATAGAAAATTGAATTTTTAACTTTGTAATAAAATATGTTATGTTTATATTGCGAAATAGATTAAACAAATTAAAAGTTGAAGAATATAAATTGATTTTTTATAAGATATTTATATTAAAAAAAAGAGGACAAAGGATGCCAGCTGTAGAGGTAGCTTTTTGAAACGTCAAATCGTGGGTTTGTGGAACCGTCTAACATAGCCGATGCTTAAGAATCTCACCAAAATCAAGGCATGGTCCATCTATACTATGCTTTTAAATGCCATTATAAAATCCCTTATATATTATGTCTTCATATTTAAAAACTTTATACTATGAATCTTAGCAATATGTCTATTATACGCACTCATTCTCGAGCTACACAAATTTCAAACCGGCATGAAATTTCAACTTACATCGAACTATTTATGTATTTTCAACCTAACCAGCACAAACCCATATGTCCATTATATACACTCGTTCTCGAGCTATCCAAATTTCAAACAGACATAAAATTTCAACTACATCCAACTATTTATGCATTTTCAACCTAACGAGCACACACCCATATCCACACCCTTTTCATTTCTTGTAGTATAGAACAACAAGACAATTGTAGGGTGGTTGAACTTTCCATTTGAGTGCAAGAATCATCATATCATACAATACAATAACTTGTTTGATAGCCCATAAGTAAAAAAAGAAGAAGAAAACCCTTAGTCAAACCAGCCACCATTTTTTCTCATCCAAATCCCTCTACATAAAGTTTGAAGATCATATCACACCTTCCACTTGATCCCATAAGCTACAAGCCATGGCATCTCTTAAAGTAACCATGGCGTTCATGATGCTATTGCTTCTTCAAGAATCAGAGGCAGCAATCTCATGCAATGACGTGACAAAGAACTTGATGCCATGCGTGAGCTACCTCATGAGCGGCAGTGGGAAGCCGCCAAGCGCATGCTGCGATGGTGCCAAAGCGCTTTCATTGGCAGCCACAAGCAGTGATGACAAGAAGGCTGCATGCGAATGCATCAAATCAGTTGCTGGTAATGTGAAATACAACGCTAAATTGGCTGAAGATCTTCCTGGAAATTGCGGCATTACACTGCCTTTTAGCATCTCCGCTGGAATTGACTGTTCCAAGTACGAAATTCTATACCCTAAAATTGAATTTTTGTTTGAAGAAAGTACTGTTAATTAGCGTTGTTTGTGTTGTTAATTTTCAGGATTAGTTGATTATGAGACAGGAGCTGGCAGCATTCTACTATAAACTTGGAGAAATTAGTATATATATTATGTAATCAAATAAAATAAAAGTAGCTGGAATGGAATCTAATCTCGTGGATTTTTAGATTCCTTTTATGTCTTCATATCATGTGCTCCGAGTGTACCTTTGTTTCTTCTTATATTCATATAAAAATATGTTATCCTATTATTTCCTTTTAACTTTTCAATTATTTTCATATACGGGTTTGATAGATATTGTCTTAGGTTAGTAGAAAACTAAGGTCGATACGGTTAGACGAACATGACTCTCCACAATGGTATGATATTGTCGACTTTGAGTATAAGCTCTCATGGCTTTGTTTTGGGCTTCCAAAAGGTCTCATCCCAATGGAGGGAGTATTTTTTATTTATAAACTCACGATCATTCCCTAAATTAGCGAATGTGGCACTTTCATCATCCAACAAATACAAATAGTATTGGAGCCAGACACCGAGTGGTGTTCTAGCAAGGACACTGGACCCCGAAAAAGGGTGGATTGTGAAATCCCACATCGGTTGGAGAAAGAAACGAAACATTTCTTACAAGGGTGTGAAAACTTCTCCCTAGTATACGCATTTTAAAAATCGTGAGACTAACAGCGATACGTAATAGGTCAAAATAGACAATATCTACTAACAGTAAACTTGTATTTTTTTTGAATTTAAACCCTAAACCCATAATGAGAGGAACAAAAAAACTCCGATTTAGTAACCCATTAAAAAATTAAAAGAAAATGTCCAAGACAAAAGGGCAAGAGATTAAATTATTTTTTGTTTGGATTAATTATTTTGATGGAATATTTGAGCTGAAACTGAAACATTATCTGTCAGATTTGGAACACACCAACAGTTCACATGGATCCAACGACCCACATGCATCTGTTCGAACAAAAAAAAGCAGGTTGACTTTGACTCTTCTGACACTTATTTTGGTTATGGGATTAGGGATATCAAAAATAAAAACCACACCTTAATAATTAATATTATTTCAAATCATATACCTATATTCTTAAGTTCATCCATTATTCAATAATAATTCATTACACATGCCATTAAACACTTAGGTTAGGGTTTAGGGTTTGGAAATGTAACAGTTCGAGGCCATAGTTAATAGATATTGTCTAATTTGACTCGTTACGTATCATCATCAGTCTCACAGTTTTAAAACGTCTCTATTAAGGAGAGATTTCTATACTCTTATAAAATAAAATATTTTGTTTCACTCTCTAATCTGATAATTGAGTCTCACAATCCATCCTCTTGAGGGTCATCGTCTTCATTGGCACAACGCCTGGTGTCGGACTCTGATACTAACTTTTGCAACCTCAGGCCACCCCTAACAGATATTGCCCGTTTTAACTTGTTACGTATTGTCATTTAGCTTCACAGTTTTAAAACGTGTTTATTAGGGAGAAGTTTCTATATCTTTATAAAAAAATGTTTTGTTCCCATCTTCAATCGATATGGGGTCTCACAATCTATCACTTTGGGGATCTAATGTCCTCGCTAGCACACGACTCGGTGTCTGGCTCTGATGCCAACTGTAACAGCTCAAAGCTACTACTAGCAAAAATTATCCGTTTTAATTAGTTATGTATTGTCATCAAGTCTCACTATTTTAAAACAAGTCTGTTATAAAAGATATTTCACCATCTTTATAAACAATGTTTCGTTCTCCTCTCTAACTAATGTGGAGTCTCATAGATAATTACGAGACATAATTTACTCTATACGAGTCTAATCCATTAAATGTCATGCACACCTTTATAAACTATAAACTCGCTAGATTTGACGATTCAAATTCTAGTAAATGAAAGACGAAGGAGAAAATTAAACACACTTATACACATTTCCAAAGAGATAAAACAAATCATTAGCCATGTTTTTTTGTTTTTTTGTTCCTTCTAAGCTTTCGAAACAAACAAATCAGCCTCTCTCTCTCTCTCTGTCTCTCCCACAGTTGATGTGCAGAGATAGAGAGAGAGAAAAGCTTCATCACAAGTTAAACATATCTCAATAAGACCCACTAAAAATGATGCACAAGAAATGCATTTAAAATATATTTTTATATATTTAGAGAGAGAGAATTTTATCACGGGCAGTTTGGATTTCTGCCCGGCCCGCCGTAGAAGAAGTAATTACCCCAGTCGCCGGACTTCCCGTTCTGAACATCGTAGCAACTGGGTTGCTCAGTGAAAGTTCCAATATCCTCCGGCTGCCGGAGATTATTGGAGCCGTCCACCACCTGTTTCATTAACTTAAATTTTAACTTTGATCCTAAAATAACATAATTTAATCAAATTATTTTAGTTTAACACTGAATTAACGAACCTGAATATTCCTAAAGTAGCCGGCCTTGCCGAAGCCCTCGCCGGGGAAGTGGCCGCTACCCATTTGAGTGGAAGTGTGTTGGCCGCCAGATTCAGAGTTAACGACTTCGCCGCCCCATTCAACCATGGAGGCGCAGTCGGTGAGGTAGGAGAACAAGAACGCCGGCCAGTAACCCAAAACATAGCTATTTCCGAATTGCATCCACCAGTTTCCTTCCTTCGGGTCCTAAAAACAAATTTTTAAAAAAATTGTCAGAGATGCTCTGTTTTCAATTGGTCGAATTGGGTTATGTTCTTGAAGCTGACCTTCCAGATGAGCAAGCTAATATCATATTGAGAGCCTCTGTAAGAAGAAATGGGATAAATGCTAGCACCCAGAGCAATTTCATTATTGATTTGAACAAACCCAGAACAGAGGAGATTGTAGCAGCCAGTAGCTTGATATGCATCACTCTGTTTCGAAAAAAACAACGAATTCAGGTCAATTTTGATCGAAATTCAGAGGGGAGTTCATAAAAAATTATGAAATTTGAAGAACTTACAGTCCAGTAAGTGAAGAATCTGGTGTTGTTATCTCCATATAAATCAGGGCTAACCTGTTTTTGTTGGAAAAAAACCAAACCCAGAAAAGATTACTCAAAAAGGTGAAATCTTTGATACAAAAACTGGGAATTAATGAAGATTCTATGAACCTGCCAACCAGCTTCAATGCTATTAAGATCTTCCCCAAAAGTTCCTCCAAGAATCCAGATCTGGGAGAGGCTGAATTCGTTTGGGTGTTGGATTTTGGGAGACCAAACGTTTATGGTTGCTTTAGCTCCATAGTATTGTCCTCCTTCAACATATGTTATTGCATGCTAACAACTCCAAAAGCAAAGGCAAAAAGTAAAAATCCACATTTTAAAAAAATTGTAAAGAACAAATAAGAACAATATGCTCTGTTTCTTGAAGTACCTGATGTCCTGTTTGGCCATTGAGATCGATATCAATGGAGGTTGGTCTGACAGTGGCTTGAGGCTTCTTCTTCCCATAGCTCTTCACAGAATTTGCTCTCAAAATGTCTCTTTTTGTTGTTCTTCTAATGGGAATTGTCCCTTCTGGACACCTTCCCTTCAAGTGCCATGATTGAGTTATGGGCTTTGGTTCTGAACCTTTTGAAGACATTTTATTGCCACTTAAAACCCCTTCTGGATGAAAATTTGGCCTCATCTGAAAAAACCCATCTCACAAATTGAAGAAAAAAACGACCCAAAACCGAGAATTGGAGAATTGAAGAAAAAAAGACCTGAATTGTATGGTTTTTGAGGAGAGGATGATCGAAAGCTGGCTGGTGAGCCATATGAACACAGTCAATTATATCCCCATCAGGACTCTGTAAAAAGAACACATTTTAAGTTCTTCAATTCAAGTGTATACCCAAAGAAGAAGAAGAAGAAGAAGACTTGAGAAGCCTTATAACCTTGATGGACTTGACGGCAGGTTTATTCAGCTTCTTCAGGTGGAGCTGAGCTTCGAATCGCCGGAGACGGTGGTGGCTGGATTTCCCCGCCGCCGCCACTGATAAAGAAACCACTAACAGCAACAGCAGCTTTAGAGCACCCATTTCACTGAATTTTGAGTGGAAAAAAGTTGGAGAACTTTATGGAATTTTCACAATTGAATCATAAAATTTTAAACCATAGTTTTTATATTAATCGCATTTTGTGGCGTATCCTCACGAGTGATGCGTAGAAGAGAAGGGCATACTTGGTAATTAAAATAAAATTAGTTATTTTTATTTTCCATGACATACCCCTGCCCAATTTGCTACAGTCCACCAGAAACGGCCGACGCCATCCTCTTTGTAGCTGGCCCCAATCTCAGACGTAGGGGTATTATGGTCAATGTCTATTTTAAAAAAATTAAATTAAAATTTGAAAATACTTATAAAAAGTATATAAGGTCCAAAAATGAATAATTACTCATAAATGTATTATTTTGATGAAAATTAAGTTTCGAACATAAATAAATTAATTTCGCAAGTTATTCGACATTAATTTACTTCATATTACAACTTGTTTAGTTGGTAAAGTGGTGATTATTTTAAATTTTAAGTATTTAAATATTTGAATAAATAAATTAAAAAAAAAAAGAGAAAAAGAGAATTAGTGAGTGTTATCCAGATCTATGTATGTGGAAAGGTGGAGTGGGGTTTGTAGCCCACACCTTGGTTTCTCTGTCTCTCAATCAATTAGGGTTTTTGTCTTGTAATGAAGGAACTCCAAATTTATATGTAACCTCTACATCAGTTGCTACCCTGTATCTGCCTTTGTTGGATTTATGATTTATAATTTTTCGGGTATTACTTTTCGAAGTTGAAATTTCGACAATTGGAGAGAAGAACGAAGTATTCTTTACAAAGGTGTGGAAATCACTTCTTAGTAGACGCGTTTTAAAACCATGAGGTTGACAACGATAGTATGTCAGCGATGACACTGGCCCCCAAAGAAGATGAATTGTGAGATCCCACATCGATCAAAGAGGGAAATAAAACATGATTTAGAAAACGCGTTTTAGTGTATGACCGAGAACAAACATGGTCACAATCGCACTAGGGTTAGTAGAAGGAAAAAAAAGCAAAACCCAAAGAGAAAAAGATAGGAATACTAATGGAAGATTTAAAAAGTGGGTAATGCTGTCCAAATCCAGCTTTGAAAGCCACTAATTGTTGTTAAGATTACAAAAAATATTCTAAGGAGTTTAATTAATTCAGGATAGACCTCGTTTACCCAATAATATAAATTAATTGATAATATGAATTAAAGTCACTCAAAATCTTTATTTTCAAATAATAATAAATTACTAGTTAGCGTCTTAATTTTATGATGATAATGTTATATCTAATAATGTTATCTCGATGGGTTTGATATAACAATTTTATGGCGATAACAATCTTCACTAATTAATTTTTTTGTGCTACGTCGAAATTTGAATTGGATCTCATTATCGACTCGTTCTTTAGATAACGATGTTAGTACCTACCTAACGTACCACTTATTGATGTCAACTTTGTTCATCTTTACCTGAAAACTCGTTCTAAGAGACTGGACTTTTTTTTCTTTCTTTCACATTCAATGGATCAATAGTTAAGATTTGGCACTTCTCCACACCCACTTCCATAGTTTGAAAGTCAAAGATTGACCCAAAAATAAGTTTTAGAAAAAAGAAATATATATATAATTGTAATATCAGTGAGAGTCGTAATTAAATTATTTACTTTTATAAAAAAAAAAATTATGAAAAATATATTAATGTAGATAGATGCAAAATATCTTTAAATTAAATTATTTAAACACAAGATCATTAAAATTTTGTTTTAATAAATAAAAGTTATTTTTAAAAATTATCCAAATACAGATTCGTAGAGAATGTTCTTAAATTATTTAAATTTTCTTTTTTAAAAAATAAGTTTTATCGGTTGTCAATGAATTATTAATGTTAAAATTCGAGTCACGTAAACTTAGATATCGAATATGCTAATCGCTTGAATTAAACGCTTTCAATGTACTTTTGGGTTCATATTTTGGAGAAGGGAAAAAGAAAGGTCAAAATTTGAAGTTAAATGAAAAGGGTTGGGGGCACAATTATTGTCCGATTATGGACCTCAAAAGATTAGTTGGGGGAACAATGGTGATCCGTGAAAAGATTCCTGCCATACCCTAATTTTAAACCCTAATCATTGCTAGAGACACTTTTTTTTTTCCTTTTCCTTTATAAATAACTTATTAATACAAATTAGCATTATATTTTTTACTTTTATCTTATTAATTGATCTTACGTCATTCATTTAGTGATGTTCACGTAGTTGTGAATGTTTGATTAATTCGCCACTCCTACTCCTAAATGGTGTGAGAGTTATCTTATTTATAATCAAATGAATTACAAGGATATGGAAATAGTAATAAATGGAAATAACAATAAATGGAAAAATACCTATGATAATAAGGCAAATATCTAATATTTGCCTTATAATAAAATATCAAATATAATATATATGGTAAACTATAATTTATTACTAAATATCCTTAACAGTAGTGATTGGAGAGAGAAACGAGTGTCAACGAGGACGGACGCTGACTCCGAAGAGAGTGGATTGTGAGATCCCACATTGGTAGGAAAGACGAACGAAACATTTTTTACAAGGGTAAGGGTGTGAAAAAATTTCCCTAATAAACTCGTTTTTAAAATTTTGAGAGAAAGCTTGAAAGTAAACGTTGGGAGAGGACATGTTACATTAATAATTTATAAATGATTTTTGAACCTTAAAATAAGATAAAAAGAGAGAGAATTAAAAGGGGTGTAAAAAGAAAAAGAAAAATGCCATTATCTCTCTCTCTATCATGAATGCTGTTGAATCACATGCATCAAATGCAGATGAAGTTTCTGTTGTGGGATAAAATCCAAATGAAGAAAATGATAAAGTTATAACCCTAAGTTTGACTATCAATCATAATAAATGCATATACATCATTCAATTCATATCCTCACAATCAAATCTAATTTGGTTATTATATGCTTTTCCATATTAAAAATTAAAATTATCGAATCAACAAAATCCCTCATCTTTCGATTCTAGGTCAATATCATTATCATTCCGGTTAACAAATTTAATTCTCAATTCATCTCGACATTTTTTGTAATAATAAAATTGAAAAAAAATCTTTAAAAATTCCAATGTGATACGACCGAAGATTTAAAGTTTTCTTCTTTTTATACATACTCATAAATTGTTAAACTATTAGTTGATGATATTGATTGTTAAACTCCATTTAGAAGGGTAAAAATGTAATTTTACTCCGGGATCATAGTCACATGCTACAAAGAGAATTTTTTATTAACAGGGAAGAAAGATTTTTTATGGTAATAGGAGCAAAATTGCATCAATAACATTTGTAATTATATATATAAATGACATTTATGGTGTAGCATTAATAATGATAGAAATATCATTTTGAAAGAGCGGGAATCGCCGAGGTATTTGTTCATAAGGATTATCCTTTATAGGGCTGCCTCTATGTCTATACCTATCTATAATTTTATAATTTTGAGGAACAAAAAAAAAGAAGTTTATTACTTATAGGATGATAATTTTCATTTTCTAGCCATTATAAAATATAAAACATTTTAACAAATTTAAAAATGTTCTTATGTAATGAGAATTGGGGCAATGTCGGAGAAGAATGTAATCTCTGACTATGTCCCCATGTAACTATCGAAAAAAATCTATCATCACTCCTTCCTCATTCGATGCACATTCGATGCAGGTCCCCACAAGCCTTAAAATATATTAGTTAAGGATTAATAGAGCACAGTTCATCTACTTAATACATTATAATATTAACCCGAAAAAAAAAATACATATTACCAGAAAGATTTTTGTTCTTCAATTTTGGTGAAAAGATGCATAAATTCTTCAATTTTCTTTTCATTTCTATCCATAAATGAACGAAATCCTGTAAACCCTTATTGTGTTTGAAAAAAGCTCACTCAAAATTTTGCCCAGAACGCAAAGGTTTGGCCATCTCTTTTCTGGAAACCAAAACAAGAAACATACACACACCACACGTATAATGTACAAAAATAAATTCAACGAATAAAGAATTAACACGAAAACACACCATCTCCCCCCCCCCCCCCCCCCCCCCCCCC